ATTTTTGATTTATTAATTTCCTGAATTAAGAAAAATATATTTGACAAAAAGTCCCAGTCCTTTTTCTGGCCTTTGTGATTATTCCACTGAGAAACGAAACAAATCTGCGTAGCTCTCCTTCACAGCGGAAGTGTCGGAAGTGAAATTTCGCGAGGCGCGTTTTGTTTTGAGAATATAGATTTAGACCTCCTAATTTTTTGCATTTCTCAAGATGTATTGCTCCCTTCCAGTAGAGTGGAAAAATAGTAGGCCTATGATTTTCAGTTGATGTTTATGCACCGATCATTCCTTTCATCTAAAGGGGGCCCAGCTAGTATAATTATAACAACAATATCACACGAATAAAAATGAAATTTCAATAATGTTAAAAGCATCAAACAAAAATTATTCAAATCCCTGAGATGATTTGAATGATGCACAAAGAAAAAGGACCAAAGGGAAAATACAATGCAATGCAACATCAAACAAAGACGATGAAATCTGCAAATAATTCTTTGTTTTTATTAAAAGCCCCAAAACTCAGAGGTTGTGGGCTGGGGTGAGAGTTCGAGCATTTAAAATATACTCGAAAAAAAAAAAAGAAGGAAGCACTAGTATTTGATTGAACTCGAGTACTCACTACTACTCTCAATTGGGGCAGAATCTCCACAGTGGTGTGCTCATGATATTAGCAAGGATTCTGTTTCCATGCCGTGAAGGACGTATTGCATACACGTCTAATAATAATTGAGAATCATTTCAAAATTTTCTTATACGCAATTGGGGATTTCCTTGTCAGTGAGACAATTCCCTGGGCCTTCGGCATATTGTGGTAGGGTGACCGGTTCCTTTCCACGGCGCCTTTACTTCCCCAACTCATAGTCAGATACCCATTACCGCTGGGTGGGCAGGAGGGGCCGAAAAAAAATCTGTGTCCGAACCGAGGCTCGAACTAGGATTTTCCACTTCGGAGACGAGTGCACTAACCGCTCCGCCCCCGCACCCTCGTCATATTCTATGAACACCGTTTTCGCAAAAACATGGACGTCAGCAAGTTGAAACCTTGAAAACTGAAGCCCACAGAACAGGTTTATGAATAAGGCACAGTTTTGTCAAGTCGATTGTTGTCGTTCTTAACACTTCTTGACGATTATTTCTTCTGTGTTAAGGGAGTTAAAGGGGACACGTAGAAAACAGAACACAAACAGAAATTATAGGCTCTTTGAACTTTCAAAGACATAATCACGAAGCATACTTTTGGAATGCCTACTATTGTTTCTCTTATAAAATGTTGTTCTTGGTCATTTGTTCCACCTTACTTAATGACAAATGCTCTCCCAAACGTGTCTTTGACATTGTAGATCTTTTTTTTTTTTTTTACCTGTGATGCCGCAGAGATCTTTATTTCCTTTTCGAAATGTTATTGTTTCACTTGAGGAAATGTATTATAATGTAGAATTACACATACACATAATATGCATAACACACACACAGATATATATATAT